GTTATGAACTGTTCTCTTTTCGTTCGAAAAACTGTCGCGGATACATCTCGCAAAATGACTGCACGCATATGCATTTAAAAGCTCACGGCTGAAAGTGCAATAGTTCAGAAACATGTATGTACGTTCCGCTGCATAAACTTTTTTTTTTCTTTTATTCTAATAAACTGTGGTTTTATACTTGAAGACATGTGCTGATATTATACGTGCGCGACAAGGTATATTGCATATCTACCTGTATAAAACGCAAATATATAAGAGAAAGTGAGAGAGAGAGATAGAGAGAGAGGAAGGGAGAAAGAAAATATAGGAGAAAAACGTAGATTTGACCCCCGAGCGCTGCTCGATTCCCTTCGGCACTTTCCCGCGATGACAATGCGGAAAAAGAGAAAAAGACAATTTATTTCGCGATACGAGCCCACGTAACCGAGCGCGAAGAACAGCCAAGAGCAGTATCGTAGCCAAATAGAAACACAACTTCTGGATACACACAGTAGAAAAAGTTTAAGACAACTACGAGTGCGAATTCGAATCTTATATTAGTATTTTAAAATATCAATATTGAAATCAAGAAAGATATTTGGATTATCTTGTAATTGCAAATTTCTTCTTATTATAAAAATAGTGTTAATAAAGACAGTTATAAATAATAAAATTAAACCAATATATAAGGCCTTACGAGCCGTTTCCAAGATGTTGGCGGAAACTGTACGTGTATATCTATATATGTATATATGCATATACACATGTAACAATTTCAACTTGTAAATTTTTACAAGTGTACACTTGTAAATTTTTACAACAACAACAATTTTTACAGTTTTCACTCAACATCTTGGAAACGGCTCGCAAGGCCTTATATATTGGTTTAACTTTCAACGAGTTTTAAAAATTGTTTGAATAAAATTAAAATTCATAAGTATTTAAAATATTAATACTTTTTACTAATAATATCAATACATTTATAAATATTTTTAATGTTATTTATGTGATAATGAATCTCTAGTTGCAAAATAATTAAAGCACGTTTCGATCTCAATATTTGCATCACAACTTCTTGATAGATATACGAAAGTGCGTGTATACGCATTATCTGCGATTCGTGAATGGAAATGTATTAGCGACATGTGATATAATATATGCGTACACGCAACAAAAAGCAACGGTATAGTTTTGAGAGATAAGGGTTGGGGAATATGTGTGCGGATGCCTGTGCGCGCGTTTACGGCAGGCGCTCGAGATAAATGAAATTCATAAGACGCCGCGTATCCTTGAGTCGGGACTTTCCCGTTGCGCGCGGGCGGGCGATAGTTTCGCGTAAGATGAAGCGAGAGACGAGAGAACCCGGCGGGGGGAATCAAGGGAGGTACTCGTGCAACAAGTGACGTTATTAGGTTGGCACCGGAGGGTTGCGAGGGAGGGAACAGCGAATCATAATGCATAACTCTTGCCCGTCCTTGTCTTACAGCATAAAGCGCGCGCGCGGCTATTCAACTTCCATACGGAATTGCTCTCGTGCCAGCTTAAACCGAATTACCCCCTAAAGACCGAAAATTAGCGAGCGGTTCTGTCGATGAACTTGATGTCCGTATTTTTGCTTGAACTAACACAACGGTCAAAGTTACATCGAAACTCGCGTTTCTTGTCTTTTTTGCTTTGAAATAAGTTTCACAAAGTCGAACAATAGCAACAAGTATACACATGTATACTAAACCTACGACTAAATTCGAATAACAGTGTGATTCGGATATATGTACAAATAAAATTTGTTAACGAATATTATTTGAATATTCAGATACTTCATGCGAATGTTGCAAATAAGTAGTTTAGTCATTCAAATATCCGTCTTATCCGGATATTTCGATGTAAACCAGGTTTTATAGAGAAAGAACTTTTTGTATTTCGTAAAACAGATTTTAGAGAAAAAAATTTTTGTAGTATTAAATCAATTTTTAATTTATTAATTTGAATACAATACGTGTTGTGCGTGTACTTGGTGCCTGTCCTTTTTTTGAAAAGGTAAGTTTTTCGAGATATCACACATTATATGTATATTTTATAGTATTATTTAATTTTGTAAAACAGGTTTTATATAGAGAAAGCATTTTTTATAAAAAACAAAAATCTTTTAATATAAGATTTTTTAACATAAAAAACAAAATTTTTTGTGTTGTATAAGAAGTGTATAGGCAGGGAGGCTTTGCTCTCTTTCAGGAGCTTTGCCTCTCTTCTTCTACTTTTTCCCGGATAATTATGAAAAACGTTTTTTACATGTTTTTTCAAGATGGCAACTTGAATACGTCCGATCGACAAAAAAGTTTTTTACTTTTGTTGTCAGCGAGTACAATTACATAAAGATATCACGTTTCACAAAGATCGAAGAAGGAGTAGCTAATGTGCAACTTTTCCGGGAGGTTTTTTTATATTCCTATTATCTCATTTTTTTTTTTTGAAAAGTAGTGGTTTTATACAAAAAATGCATAGAACACAAATGATGTATTTTTTCAAAAGCTACAACTTTTATTTAAAACTGTTTTTTATTACAAACATCAATAGTTATCGAAATAATGTTAAAAAACGTGATAAATTTGAAGTTTTTTTGAGTTTTGACTTTGAAAATGATCTTGTTGGTAAGTTTCTTTATCATATTTGTAATCAGCGCACCAAAATACACTAGTATACCAATTGACAGAAAAATTGGGTGTTTCAGGTTTTCGGAACTATATCCGAAAAACTTACTCTCTATGTCCAGTTCCATAAAAGTGCTCGTAAATATTACACACTATACGAAGACCACAAAGGTAGGACTTGATAAGTCAATTTTTTTCAATTTCTTGTTTTTGATGTTATTTGGTAGTTAAAATGGAGTATTGTAAGTATCCAAAGCGAAAAAAGAACAATTTTGATAGATTCCGAGATATAAACATTTTTCTAAAACGTGTAACACATAAGTACATACACGTTTTGAACTTTAAAATCACTCTCCTCTAAAATTACAAAAATGTGATTTATCAAGTTCTTTCTTTGTGGTTTTCATAGTTTTAATAAAAACTATTTTGTACACATACCACTAGTACAATAGCAATCTATATTATAGAAAAGAATTTTCTTGTATTTAGTAAGCAAGATAGAAGCTATGTAACAACTAGCTTCGGTCTTTCCTAAATTTCCATTCTCGTTTTCTCTTCGACGGGTTACGAACCGCGAAAAGAGAGACGGCTGCCGCGTCGCAGCCGTCGGCGACGGGAGTTGAAGACAAAGAAGCTTTATTATGCGTGACGAGAGAGCGATGGAAATTGAAAACGGGGGCGGAGATTGGTAAAGGTTTCTAGGGTGTTCCACGAAGGCCGGCGTTGAACAGCAAAGACGACTACCTTATATCCGTAAAACTCGGATTATTACCGCTCAAGACGGTTATCTCGCCACACACACACACACACACACACACACACACACACACACACACACACACACACACACANCTCTCTCTCTCTCTCTCTCTCTCTCTGCACTTTCTCATATATGTATAAATCGAAATGCATTTATCCACTAATCGTCAGTCGTCATTGCTGGATTCACTATTATTTAATGAACTCTCGTGACGCAAATTCATCTCATTCATTTCACTTCGGTTATTTTTCTAATCACGGAAAGTAGCAAAAAGAGTCGGTCGAAGTTCCCGGTGGAAACTGCAATATCGTTACGAAATAAATATCAAATCTTTCTTCTTCCTTTCCTCCGTCATACTTTTTCCCGTGACTTTCATGTTTTAACGTCAGCAGGTGATAGTGATTGAAGTATGACCTGTCCGGGATAAGAGAAGAGCTCGTGATGTAAGTAAGATAGAAAAGTGGATGTAAAACTCATACTCGTCGCCACACTACGTTTAAGCATAATAAAAGTTCGATCTCTTGCCTTAGTGCGCATAAAAAGAATTTTTTCAAATAATCTCAAAAGAAAAAGAGAAAATACTGCATGATCGAGTAGTATTCTGCAAGTGTACAACATGTATGGGAGACGAAAATTAAAAAAAATTGTGATACGAAGAAAAAAAGCTTGACGGACGACAGGATTACCGTCGGACCTGTTGTCGTTCTTTTTTCACTTCGCGAATCCCATTCCCTCTCAACACTTGATTTCCGTCTTTCCCTATTTTCCTCTTTCGTTCCGTATCTCTCGTGTTTCCCTTTTCCCTCCTCCCACGTTTCTCATGTCGTCTTCACCTCGAGTCCGCCATTTTTGTTTGTATTTTGCGGTGATCGTGGACCGGAAACGGACGTCCGCGCCGTGAAAAATGGCCGCCGTTGCGCTTCCGGTACGGGAACATTCCCCCTCTGCCCTCCACATTGCTTCACCCTTCCTCTTATCCTTCCTCGCACAACTTCCCCTGTCCTGAATCCTATCCTACCACCCGACGTGTATACCTGGGGCCACGTTGACGCGTTTTTATCCAACTCGTTTCTCTCTTCTCTCCGCGGTCACTTGCTGCTACGTCCTATCTTTCTGCTCTTTATTGCTGTTCTGTCCGATTTCGGACGCCATTGACCCGCGTCATCGCCGAAAAGTGTGTGTTCATTCGACGCAACATCGTTACATATGTTTTCGACGTCGCGCAAACCAAACATTTTATAGTTTCGCGTTCGATTTTTCGATTATAATAATTGAGCTTCTTTCTCTCACCGGTACTGCAGCGTCATCGAGAGTTATACTCAAAAGAAGTTACACTCGAAACACGTTACGTTATCGCGGCACTTTTGCGGAAAGAAGATTTTTTCTTGAATTAATCCGGCCTTTGTTTTTGTCGAGATATCGTTGCATTATTCAAAGAAATGATAAGAAGCGAACTTAAATTCTCTCTTTACATGTGCGATGTTTAATTATTCGTTTGTATTTTGATTAAGTAGAAGGTTAAAAAATTAATAAATTATCTCTCAAAAAATTATTAAATATTTTAAATATATTTTAATATATAATTGATTTTCTGATTTATGTTTTAGAAAAGCTTCAAGAATGTGTTAAGCTGATCCGATCTAAACGCACTAGGATTTTTGGGAATGGACTCGATACTGTTGCTGCTTCTACTGATCGGTGAGTCTTTTCCTTAATATCGCGAAATGTTTTAGCGGACAATTCGAAGCAAAGTTAATGTTCTTCGGTGATGACTGCGGTTATTAACATAGGATTCTATGGCTTTGAGACGAGATCTTTTACAGCGCAGAGCTGCAACATCTGAAAGTCGGCGGCGAAAACTTTGGCGCTACTTATTACAAACTTCGATTCGGGGCTATATCCTTTCTTTTTCTTCGCGACGATGAGTTATTCCGAAATGTTGAATATCTTCGCGGAGTCGGGATATACTGGTACACGGAGTGCCAGTAACTTTGTTTTGTCTCATTTTTCATTTCAACAACGTTGTCAAGTAAACGTATTTCTCTATAGAAATCCGTAAATACGTGAAACCAAGTTTGTTCATTTGATGATCATTTTGAAATATCTTCAATTTCTTCCTTCGATAATGCAAAAATATATACAACAGAGACTTTTTTTCTTCTATTCTATGATCAAACCGAATGAAATTATACTTCTTGAGACCTGAAATTTTTCGCGAATATACAATTTCACATGCGGAGCACGCCGATGACACGAAAATATTAAATCCTGAAACGCAGTTTTTTGTCTGTATTTTTTTGCCGGTATTTTTTTGCCGGTATTCTCATCCGCAAACACCGGGACCAAGAGAGGACAAAATAAAATTCGCGATCTCCATCGGAGCGAGAACATTCGCTACGGGGGAAAGTGACTTCGATTTGACGCTCCGTGAACTTGCAGAATAACCCGACTCTCTCTCTCTCTCTCTCTCTCTCTCGCTCAGTTTTGGACTCGGCTGTCCTTTTCTCGTGGACGGAGAAAAGCGAGGAGAAAAAATTGTGTCCGTTCCGCAGCATCTCTACGTACGCGCATATCCCACAGTTCGGTCCACGGTCGATGACCACGTGGAAAAGGTAGGAAGGACGACGAAACGAAGCGGGAGCAGGACCGAGGATAGGAAGGGAGAGGGAACGAGAAAGGAGAAAAAAAGAATAAATACGTTTAGTTTGGCAGCCTGTGGGTGGTGATGCTGGTAGTGGTGGTGGCGACGGTAGTGGTGGTAGTGGTAGTGGTGGGCGTCGAACTCGGGACATCGCGCGCGGATGACGAGTAATCGATCACGAGCACTCTGCCAACACTACGTGGCGAAGAGCACGGTGGTTCTCATTCGGTACGTAATGCAGATACTTAGATGATGATGATGATGATGATAATGATGATGATGATGACGCGTGCGCACGTGTAACGTGATTGTAACGTCGATCTATTGATTTTTGAGCAATCTCTGATTTTCGAAGGCGAGTTTCCGTGATAAAAATGCAAAAAAAAAGAGAGAAAAATCAAGGAAATTCGCAGGGGAAATACTCGGTGATTATTCCGAAAACTCGCGGTGACGCAATCAGAAATTATCAGATCGACTTCCTTCGCCTTCGTAACACATACACGTCTTTCTATGTACGTTCTCGGTAATAATTCGGGAAACGCGTCCGACTCGCCGTCATGTCGGGAGATTAGTTTTGGCGTGCGGGAGATTCGATCTCTCGATTTCTCCCTTTATACTATGTGCAGAAATTCTCACGAGGGGCCGAAGTGCCGTCGTCGTCGTTGTCGAAAGAGACCGTCGCGCAAATCCCTGAGCATAGCTGAGAGCCATGCGCCGGAGATATTTGCGGACGAGTTCGTAATGCTTTCGCGAAAAATACAGAAACCCCACGGCTGGCAACCCACCCTCTCTCCATCCCACCCCGCGTACATCCGGTTTACCCTGGCAGTCCCTGTATCGATTTCTGTCCGATGGAGTATCGCGATACTCGCCCTCTCACCACCCTCTCGCTGCGCTCCTCTCCATCCCCGATCGCCTCTCTTTGTGACTCGTCCCCTTCCCCTTCCCGTTTGCCCTCACCGATCGTCCCTCACTCAATATCCTTCTCTCGCTTCCTCCCTCGTTCTCGTGTCGCGTGTCCTTTGCATCGCGATTTTCAATACCGTGCACACACGTGAAACGAAGGTGGACATCCCAGGCGAGATGGATCATTACTCTGTGATGCCGGTTTTTTCATTTTTGGCACACGCGCTCTTCTTCTCGATCTCTCAAGTAATCTGGCATGGATCAAAATGCCTGTCACTAAACGATTGAAAAAATATGAATGCTCTTGATAACTAACTCTCTTCGATAGCGGACTCAAATATGATCAGTAAAGATTCAGTAAAAATAAATAATTGTTTGCACAAAAAGAATTTTGATGTAAAATATTAAACTTACTGTTACTCTTTTATTATATATCAAATGTTATAACATATCATACGGGTAGCGCGCAAGAACGCGTGAGAACCTCTGAAGTAATCTTAGAGTTAATCAAGTTTGCGCGAGGGTTGTATTTAGTTACACCGAGATCAAACTTCGGATCGATTTCAATTCGAATATCTTATTGATTATAGACCGAGAAAGGAGAAAAAAAAGAAATAAAATTATGTTGCAAAGATCTTATTTGGATACGCTCGTATTCGGATCATTACGCGAGTGCGATACGAGTCGACTGTCACCGACCTCTCATAAATGCCGGGGATTATCTCATGCGATCGTTGTATCAGATCACGGCAACGACCGTGCAATGAAATGATAATATGCGGAGGACACCGAAGACGAGCAAAATTTAAATTACGGCAAAAGCACGTATATGCACATGTATGTACATATAAATGTAGGTGTGTGCACGCAACAATCTCTCACTCTCTCTTTTCGTTCATTTATCATGGCATCCGGAATAGTGCGAATCGTTCGTCGGTTGGGTGGAATTATTTATCTCGAAATAAAGGCTGCGCGCTTTGCGAGCCGAACGGGATGGATAGGAAGCAAAGGCTGCATGACATCGTGATTTTTATTTTATCGCTGAAGGATACAAAAATCGCGCGCGTTACCATTTACCACTACTACACACTCTTGCGCTCGGTTTCGAGGTCATTGACAATCGGTGACCGGCTTGTGCGTTCTACATTTAATTGATCAAACAAATGGCAAATGGGATAACAGTACGAATTTTTGCTGTAAAGATTGACATATAAAAAAAAGAATACAACATAACTGTTATTGACGCTATATGACATATCAGCGCAAGTCAAATATAGAATCGAAACACAAAATAACGTGGTGCAAATCATATTTTTAATATTATATTTTTGTGCGTAAATAAAAATGAAAAAATATCTCTTGGAAAAGTTGCAAAATTCTTTGAGAAACTTTTGCGCATGAACAAGTAGAATTAAACAGTATTACTGAACACTATCACAAATTTAATTGGAACTCAATAAAAATTTTAGACATTGAATCAAATGTTTACAAGAGAATCACATCAGAATCTTATGACTGACACAGAATCCCTGGACAACATATACTTATACCTGTACTAGACAAAATCGAAATAAAACATACACACACAGAGGGAACTATCAATTCAGACACATAGTATTTGATTTTATACCAGTAGCAAAGTAACTACCGAACGAAATAGAAGTTTACTAACCACGGATGATTAAAATTAAATTTTACTCTATTGTTATCGAAAATTGACACTCTACATCTATTATGTATGTATTATATATTTAATGTTTTATTAATTTTTCCACTAGAGAATTATATTCATTTGACATAATCGAAAACTTTTAATTAAGTGCTTATTGTCTGCGTTTTAATTTTATACTTCTATTATACAGTGTACAACTGAAGATGACTAAAATAAAAAGTCGAAACGTTTACAAGATTCTTTTTTACTTTCAAATCAATTCTTGCAAAACACCCAGCAACGGTTCGCACAAGCCGATTACTTAAACACAACATTTGGATTCAGCAATTCGAACCGGAGGTCACCCCTCTAAACACATTTTTAAACAGTATTACTGTTCAATAACAGTGTTTTACTGTAGATTCACGTACTAAAAAAATGCAACATAACCATCATTTGACGTTACATCATATATCGGCGCGAATAAGGTAAAAAACACAAGTGGCGATGCAAAAAAATATTTTTCTAAAAAATAAAAAATGGAAATATAATATATAGATATACTGTTGAAAAAGTTGCAGAAGTCTGAGAAATCTTCCGGTATTATCATTCTTATTATTATTAATGGAATTAAATGATATTTTTCACACTATAGATTGCACGCTTTCTCTCTCTCTCTCTCTCTCTCTCTCTCTCTCTCTCTCTCTTTCTTTCTTTTTTTCTTGGTAACGTGTACGGGGAACAGTAACTTTTTTATCGGAAGTTTATTCTATCGCCACTCGAAAATCGTGCCAATGAATATTCCCGACAAAAAGCTCTTATCCAGGTGGCTCTACTACTTTTATTTCAACTTCCTCATGGGATCGCTTATTTCTCTTGTTCTCTCCCCTCTTTTCTTCTTTCGTACTTTTTTCTTTTCTCTGCAGAGCGTCCCGGAGGCGTGTGCGTTATACACGAACCGTCATTACAAAGCGTTCGAAGATTAAACTTATCACGAACGAGAAAAGCTGATGAAAAGACATCGCGGATTAACGTCGTGAATATCATATTAAACCCATGCGACAGGGAATCCGTTCCCTTCTTCCTAATCCTTAATAATGTTTGTGATATTATTTATACAAGACGCGGGGATGTCACACCGCGCGAAAAAAATCATATCTCGCTTTACTACGAGTGGTGCTCGTGGAAAAGAGAAAAAGATTTAAAAAAATACATGTATATAACATGTCGAATGGTTCGACGCATCTAGTTACATGCGTGTTGCGAAAAGCCGAGCTTGCATTTTGACCATTCGATTTCGAACAAAATCGATTTCCGTGCAACGGTCGTTGCGCCATCGACTGTTACCAAACGTAACACACCGTAGTCACCGTCACCGGGATTTTAACGTGCGCCACAGGGACCGCACAGGGCGCGTTGCCAGGGGCGCTAAAATATGTGTTTAATATTTACTCTCGACCGCATGGACGAAACGTATGGCTGCCAGGCGTAACAAATTTC